CCTAAACATAACCTTAGCAGATGCTGGCCATAGTGGGCTGCTTAGGAAGGTGGAACGTAAAGAAGTGTCAGGTATTGCTAGCAAATTCCAGAGAGGCTTTATGAAGCACCGCCTAGCTCTGCAAACAGGGAAGGAAACATCATCTGCCAAATTTACACAAATAGATCTAGGTTGTTATTAATCTGCAACAGACCAAGGTCTGGTATTATCCCTATCACTGAGTAAATCACAATTAGCAATTAAGCGGTTTAGTAGGACATTTTACAGCTTGCAGTAATGTCACCAAGAGCTGAATCCACAGCTCCTCAGATAAGATTCCAACGAATATGGCAACTGTGTGGGACAAACACTGCTCTAATTTGCATGGCAGAACTTCTAAATTGTAATTTGGAAGTTTCCCCCGTTAGTTCCATACTGCTCATGGTACACTAAGCGCCTGAAATGGTGGTTGGCACTCTTACAAGTAGACCTTGGCTTCTACTTCACTGCTCCCGCTGAACTGTTGCGGCGGCAGCACTCGGCCCTCATCACTACAGGCGCCAACAGCCCCAGACAGTGCAAACAAGGACCCGTGACCGCGGTGAGAGGCCGCTGTACCTCGTACTGGTCAAGGAAGATGTGCAGCTGCTGCACGCTGATGCGCAGGTCGGTCTCATTGAACTCGTACGGAATGTTCCAGCCCAAGGGCCCAAAATTCCGCCTTTCTTGCACCAGGGCGTGGAAGAAGCAGAGGCCGTACAGCAACTTCTTGAACTCAGCCTTAAAACCAAATGCAACACCGTTAATCATTCATGGCTGGTTTAAACCGTTTCATTTTTAGCTCACATCCTGCGCAGCAGTGCTGAAAGCCAGCGTCTCCAGCCCTGTCACATACTGTTCACGAGGCAGGGGCAGCTTCTTCTTGACATATGCAGGAAGTCATCAGGTTGTCCGAAACATCAGTTCTAAATATTCTCCTAAACCAGTGTGAACCCTCAAAGCAATTTCATTTTTAAAGCTACATGTATACACATCTCCATGTATATGTAATTAATACACATGACACATACAACTATATGTAGGAGACCATGTACCTAATGATTTTTTTTTACACCATTGTATTATAAAACATTCACACAATATTGCTGTTTTGTTTTTTTTCTCATTCTCAAGATAGAGTTCATGCCTTTAAAGAAAAACTTCAGATAGGAACTTTTGTTTTTCATTTGAGACCATTTAGCAAAGTATATGACCTCACTTAGAAGAAATACAATAATTATAAAAAAAGAATGTAAAATATGCTTGCAAACTAGTATCTTACTTTTTTTTTAAAAAAAAAAAGCAACTAGAGAGCTTTAGTATTAATGCCATAGCACAAAAATCTCAATTGAAGAAGTAGGAGATGAGCAAACAAACGTTATTTAAATTTAAATTAATAATTTAATTAATGCATTAATAATAAATAATTATTTAATTTTATTGTTAAATAATAAAATTAAAGAATTTATTTAATTAATTTATTAATAAATCATTTAAGTAATACATTTAGAATTAAATTTATCTCACGAATTGATAGTATAGATCAGTTGATACCAATTGATAGAATTGATCAGTTTCATTGTAGTGGAAGAAAACTATTTAATTTGGGAGTGTGGTGGTTTTTTTTCCCCTCAGAGCATATATACTCAAGTCATCAGGGTCTGCTTTAACTGATTTACAAAGTTACAATACAACACTACTAACAGGTTTTGTGCCGCTGTCGAAAAAGTCAGGATCAGATATTGGATCCATCAGGTATGAACGAATTATATTGGCCCGTAAACCTTTTGGTGCTTCATTAGTGATCTTCACTCCATTCTGCAGTACAGACACCGGGAAAGTGGCAGATGGGTAACTGGTGAGCCAAATTCGGAAATCCGGATGTGTTGTATCAGGGTTTAGCTCCTACAATAAACACATATAAAAACCAGGCAATTGGAAGACACAATAGATTAATATACACATCAAGTGTTATTATTAAAGCAATTTTTTTTTAGTGGGAAAATACATCAGTCCAAAGTTTAATTTCTTAGATGCTTATCTATGATTATAGTGAAAGTCACGGTTATGAATTACAACTTCCCTTCTACAGCTGGTGTATTTTTATTCGATACTTCAATATTTTGAACAAAAAAATTCTCCTCTCTGTGCATGTTTGTGGAACACACGAAGAAAACCAAGTGCAGGCTCTGTACCAACAGAGCAATGCGATGCATACGTTGCCCACTTACTGCGCTTACTGTCATACAGCTGTTCTGGGAGGTGCGATACGAATAATACGGGTACATCAGAATCGTGTTAAGTTTATTAAGGGGGAAAAAAAGAAAGATATATATGCTAGTCCCTCTTTGGAAACCTATAGCCATTCAAGAATAAAAGTCCCTAGCACACTGTTTTTCTGCAGCAACAGACATATGGTGAAAGCTCTTGGCTTGAAGAGGCTGTTGCAGTGGCTGGGATTTCCCCTTGAAGGAAGGAGCCAGGCCCACCACGTCTGGGAGCAGGCAGAGGGAACAAGAATCAGTGTATGATGATTGTCCCTATATAATGGGAAACAGAACGAAATATGCTAAGCTGACTTCTTGGTTGTCTGTATGGATCAGACCCGCCGTCAAAAGTATTTATAAGATGATGACAATACTTGGTTTTACCTCACAGACTCTTTCCAGTGTTGGCATCCATGAACTTGCTAGATGGCAATTTTGCAGAACTATCCACGTTCCGTCCTTTACTGCCTTCTCTATCATTTTCATGGCTATTGGGCCTTGGCCTTGACCAAGTGACAGAGAACTAAGCTTTGTGCCACCGTACCCCTGCATGTAGAAGGCATGTTATAAGTAAGAATAATACCACATAAATGCACTAAACCTTCCGATATGAGCGTTCACATCTGTAAGCATTCTTGAAATATTTAATGTAGCGTTTATTTTAAAACATACATTAAATCTGTTTTTTTCATGTTATTCCAGTTGACTAAAACCTCTTCTCTATCTTCTAGTGAAATGCTCCAAGTACACATCCATTTAATCCAGTTCTTTAAAATTCTGACACTTTCAAAATACTCCTGAAAACAGCATGTTCTTTAAGGATGTAGCCAACCTACTCTAAAATGCAGGATACACTTGCAGCTTAGTGGCTGGAGACTTGAAGTATGTCTGTCATTCTCAACAGGACCGAATTCTGACAATAATAGTCAGGAAATTCAAGAAATACATCTTACCAGAAAATAGCAACTTTCTAGTATTGTAAAAGTACTCTTCTACCTAAGAACTGATTTAGGCTGTTAGAAATTTTTTGTTATGAATGCCATAATAATGACATTTTAAACCAACAAAAATCCATATTTGAATTCTGAGGTGTAAATTCCACCCAGATCCTATGGTCCTATATCACTACACTGTTTTCTAATTAAGTAATTAAGTAATATATTACACATATTAGAAAAAAAAATTACTATTTTCAGATAAGATTCCTTACAATAAACGTTTAAACCATTATGGGCTTTTTTTTCCATTTTTCTATTTTCCATTTGAGATTACTCAAATTAATTATTTAAATAGATCATGACATCACAACATCATAAAATATGCCACAAATATTTAACATACCATTTATTATAAACAAGACAAATTATTAATTGTTAAAAACAATCCTCTTGCATTAATTAGTGCTTTGTGTTAAAGAGAACCATAAGAACAATTTTTACATGTTTTAGGGAAGTTAAACAGGTTTTTGAGCTTATTTTGGCGTTTCAGCTTTTACTTAAATAAAGTTCCTTGCTTCATACAAACATACGTGCACACACACAAGCATCAACTATATTAATAAAGTCTGGAGATACTAAAATACCTGATCATCAGCAAACTTAAGAAGGGCTGCCATGGGGTCAGCACCAGGAGAAAGTATAAATATCAGTGGTGCACAAGAATGACTATCAGAAAACGCTTTTGACAAATCAAATGGAGGTGGCTCAATAAATGGGCGGCCCAGGTTGTGAGTGATAAATTCCTGCACCATTGGTATTATCTAAAAAAAAATAAAGAAAAGGAAAAATAGAATTAATTCCTGCCTATAAAATCAGGTACAAGTACAGTCCCAGAAGAATCAATGATTTTGTACGTGCAAATCCAGGCAAAAAAGATGCTCTAAGAAGGCTGAAATTGGAAGTCCTACGCAAATGATCCTTAATCTCACTTCTGTCACATCTGGACAGACTAGTGTGCTGGTATTGGAAGCCAGATTTTTTTCCTGCACTTACTCCATCTGTGTTATGGACAGGATTTCAATTTTCAAGTCTCATAATACAACCAACTTTCAAAGGTGTTAAGATCTTGGCCTAGAAACTGCTGTGTACAGCAGTCTGGTACACACTGGTGTTTAAACTTCCTACTGAAGTTATGCAAAATGAGAGACAATTTAGAAAAGGACAGCTTAGTGCTTTGGCCATGTAAATCCTCACAGATACAATTCTTTTAAACATCACATTCATTCTGTCTCTGGACACACTCTAGAATATTTTACAATAACCACCACCTTTTTAAAGAAATGCAACCATATTTGCAAACATAATACTGAGATTTAATCTTTGAACATAAAATTCAAGAAACGCTAAAGTTTTCAAACAGCAATGTTAATTCAACCACTTTGACTGCAATTAGTATAATATTTTTTTTAAATGTATATGTAAAATTGCTGTAACTATATTTTTAACTTGCATTTTTAACATTTCAGTTATAAAATGTATAATTTCCATACTGCATTAGCAAAGGTGATTTTAGTTAATAAATATATAGTATGACTAAAGAAACAGAATGTGACATACAGAAGAAAGTTCCAGTAGCTTCATTTCTCTTGATTGTCTTGCTCAAAAACTCACCTGTGTTTTTACCTACCTGCTTTACTTACCCTGCTTTACAGGTGCAACGTGTCACCAATTAGTATAATGCCTTAAATGTGAGAGCAGGAGGGAGGCTCTGGGCTATCCTAATTGCAAGCATTATAGATGGAGATGCTCTTGAAAGAGCTTGGTTTGGCTTCCAAGCTCTTGAGTGATTTTAAGGATATGTATGAATATGAGAACCGTTTAAAAACGTTCACAAACTGGCCTTTTACAGAGAACTGCAAGTGCACTCCGGAGAATGTAAGTCTGAAAATGGATGTTTTGACTATGCCTCAGTTTTTATATACCGTGCCTGAAAATGAAGTAATTGTTAAGTGTATTTGTGTTCAAGAGTTGTGATCTTCCACTAAGCCTAAAGAAGACGAAAAGTTGAATACTCCAACTTTTCCTCTGTACCCTGCCCGGGAATACTGCAGTAGGATGACTGGCTTCTGCACGTTCAGTTCACTAGTCTAGATACAAAATTGAATACAGTTACTCTTCTTGTTTGTTGGGGGTTTGTTTGTTTGTTTGTTTCTGGTTCTTGTCACTTAAAAGTTAATTTCTGGTGTTATGTTGTCTTTCTGATTGCAAATTTTCAGTCATAAAAAAGAAGTCCTTTGTTAGAAGAAACGAGTACACATCCAGTAGGAAGGATGAAGTAGCAGAATGATCACTACTTAAAATTTAGAAATTGACATTATTTAAATTTTAGAAAACTTAATGTTTATGCCCCTGCAGGCTTTGACTTGAGCAATAAAAAAAAAAATAAAAAAAATCCATCTAACTTCTAATTTGGCACACAAGAAGATCAGCCTAGATCTCAGGTCATACTGCAAGAGTTATCTGAGTGCTTGATAACTGAAACAAACTTACTTAATTTTTAGTGTTCTGGCCAGATGGGATTCTAAAGTGACAGGAAAACATAGAAGTTAAAGATGTAGCATTTTACTCACATAATTTGTATTTCAAGGTTCTCTATGTCCATGGTCCTATGCTACGTTTTTTCTTTGAAGATATTCTTTAAAGTCCTGGCTATGCCAGATCTCATGCACTGCTGCGAAATAGCCTGTATAGCATGGTGTCTACTAGATGCTATCTGGTAGAACAAAGCCACTCTGGTAGCCTGCAGATACCACAGCTACCCAGAAACCCATTCACTACTTGCAGCCTATTCTTTGTTCTTTTACTAGTTGCTTATTTACTTGCTTGCAGCCCTCACTTGAAATGTATTTTTCAGCCTGAGCTGTGCTGATAGGCATTGTGGGGAAAGGCATTATTTGCAAGCTCACAGAAACAGTTTGCTGATGTGAACATGAGCAGTGTGTCAGATGTGGCTCTAAACTTCTGAACTGTCACCTGCAGATGGCAAAGGCGGGCTTTGTCCACTGTCCAAACGCAAACGAACCAGACGTGGCAAAATGTTTCTTTTGCTTGATAGAACTGGAGGGCTGGGAACCAAATGATGACCCATGGTAAGCACAGGTGTAATAATGTTCTTGAAGTATTCCTCCTCCAACCTTCTTTAACAACATCCCCTTACTCTTTACAAAATTACCAATTTCTCTGTAACAGTTCACAAAACTGAAGCCTACTGAAAGCTTACCTTACCCTGAAATAGTTCAACTGGCTTTTATCTGAGATCCATCGGAATCTATTTCATATGTTTTCTGTATGATACTTTTGTACTGATAGACAGTAGAAGTACTGAAGAGACCTGTCTGTTTAGATTTCTTTATCTCTTGAAATGTAACTTTCATGGTTTTAATATCTGTTCTTATTGTGGTTTACATTGCAGGGAAGAGCACACTAAACGTCACAGCTGTGGCTTTTTATCCCTTACTAAGCACTTTGATGACCTGACAATGGAGGAGTACTACATGCTGGAGATGACACGGCTGAGAACCTTCCTCGTAAGTGTTAACCAAATAAGCCTAATATAAGATTCAAAGCTAGAATGTAAACAAGAACTTCCACCTCTAAGATTTTCAGGCATCAGCAAGGAGTGATTGTGTAAGGCTAGAACATGACTTACTATCAAGTGACAGTTTACATGTATTATTGGCTAAGAAGTCTGCATCTAAACACTTCTCAGTGAGGTCTATTGTCTAGCTTTTGAAAGAACACCAGTTTCCTTTAGAAATGTTTTCCAACAACTCATTACAGCAGAAAAAATATCTTGGGTGCAATAATCACCTGTTTGCTGAAGAGGCACAGTGAAGGTTCTGCATCTTCCTGGTGGGTTTGCACAAATAAGATCTTTGCCTTGCTGATAATGTTCCATATTGAAAATATACCTTGTGACTGTCATGGTTAAGTGTTTAAGTTGTCTATACAACAGACTCAAATACACAAAAACAGGATCACATGCTGCAGTCCGATATCTTAAAAGGTGGACTAACAGTGAGAACTTGATGTTATCTCACCTGAACAACCAATGATTTAGAGCAGTGTTCCAAGGTACAAAATGGGTCATGGCCAAAATACTACTCTATTTCTAAGTACAGCATTCACGTAGCTTCACGTGGGGACACTTTGCCCCTGTAATACTGTCACCAATAGCTTGGAGGGCTACACACTCAGGCTGATTCAGAGCGTGCTGCTACCTTGAAGCACCAATATCCTAATGCATCCCAAGAAGTGAGATCATGCCTCTTCACACAGAGAAAAAGTACAGCTGAAGTCTCCCTTCCTGATGTGATTTTTAAAATACAGCTAAACAGTAGTTTCACAATTTACTTTGAAAGAAAAAGTATGCCAGACATACTTGAAGGTGGTCACTGAACTGAGCCCTACTGGCAAGGCTGGTGGAGGAGTTTCTGAATCAAATCAGGGTATGCATATGAAATATCTGCCAAACTGCTCTGCACAGACAGCAGCATTGCTGACTATAGCCAAAAGTAAACTTCTAAGCTAGAATTAGTCTCAGATTAGTGAGGTTTTGAGTATGTAGGTTTTTAACATAGTTGAACTAGACAGTTAAATTGCTATATTGAAAGTCTCAATCTTTTGCTTTGCTTTAAGTGCAAAACTGGCAGAAGAATAATAAACTCTTTTCAAGAAGAAGTCACTGCAACAAGGCAGCGTCTTGTGGATAACTTTGTCTCCAAGCATCAGTATACACCACCACCACCAGTGCCTCTCCATGCTGATCCATCTGCCCAATGTTCTGAAAGCTCATACTGCCAGCCAAAAAAAATCCAGGAGAAGTGAAGTGTAAAATCTGACTCTAAAAGTTTCTCATCTTTATATGCAACAAACATTCATATTTCTGTCTGAGTACTAACATAAAGCTGAACAGTTGTGGGAGGAAGTGTAGAGAATTTGCTGGAACAGAGGTCAAAACTATACTAACTGCTATCTTTCACAATGTGCTTTGTCATTATGGCTAGGTGTGGACTAATAGTAGTCCTGCTAACCTGTGAATATATAAAAAATGTCTAAGCAAATACTTACATTCTGGTTTTTAGTAGGTTGACTTTTTTTGGAATAAAGATTCACAATTGTGAGCACCTATTGTGATCTGTGCCAAATTCAAGCCTTACAGCTAGACAGACTCAAATCAGAACAGTTCTGCTTCAAAACACTATCCATGGAACAAAATGTATCTGTGTGTATGCAATAATTACTACCTTTAAGCATCTACATTATGTACACTCCAGCTTATCATTAAATTATCTTCCTAGATCAGGTAAAATTTACCACATCCATCAAAAAAGTTACATAAGAAAAATAGCAGGTGTACTGAAAAAGGGAAGTCACAAGGTTTGTAAGACAGTCTCAAGGAGGCAATGCTTTGGGGACTTTGGTACGTATGCTGAAATACAAACAAAAGCTAAAGGCCTACCCTTTTTAAAAAATTCTTTTCATTGCAATTTTGAACTTGCTGTTTTTTTTGAAATCTCGTTAATTCCTGTTTTCCTTTATGACAGACTGTTGTAGAATGGTTGTCGACAACACAGTTGAAATGCATACTTATACTTGCAAGTACGTCTGGTTGCTAAGACTGACAGACCTTTTTGAATAGGTGAAAGTTTCATACATACTTTGTCAGGTCTCAGGCAGCGAATGATAAGCATCCTTTGGAATTCCCCCAACTTGTGTTGCCACTCTGCAGGAAAATCCTCATGCTGGGGATCCTAAAAACATATGTATTTCAACATTCTTTAAAGCATTTGTGAGAGTAAATTATCTTTTAACTTGACACATCAATCCATGATGTATTTTTTTTATCAGTCTACAGAAATGAGGTTGGCATGTTTAAATCTTTTTTGTTTAAAAAAAAAAGAAACAAAAAACAAACCACTTTATACGTTCCTCTAAGAAGCTTCTCTTAGAGAAGTTGTAGTAATTTTTAAGTGTTTAAAAGATAATAACCCAAAGTTCTTCTCTACAAAGTGGAGAAGGAACAAGCTGGAGGAGAAACCTGGAAATGCACTTTACCTCCCTCTTTCTGTTAGAACTGAATTATGGTGTCAGTCATCAATGTGACAATGATAACTGTTTAATCAATGACATCCACATTACAGTATTACATGATAACTATGAGTTAGGATGCATCTGAATGCAGAAAACGAGTGCAGGAAAACAAGAATTAGAAAATGAAGTCAAAGAACGCACCAGAGAACTTGGCTTGTAAACGATCTACAAATAATTCGGCTGTTTCGTCATTACTGCAGTTGTCAGACTGGGAACAGCAGTGGTTATGTGGCCTGTTAACTTCTCATTGACTGATGTACTGTGCCAGCTAGGTATGCCTTTCTGGAAACTGGTATTACAGCTCTGCTGGTGAGACCCTTAGGCTTGCTTGCAGAGGGCTGGGCACAGAGGTATGCAGACAGACCTGCACAAACTGCATTCTGAGCAAATTCTTTAGCAAATCAAATCAGGATGGAGCTCACATTCTGCTAAGGATCTGGAGCCTACCTCCCTCCTTCCTCAACTTCTAGGCACTTAGTTTCAGATCAGAATTCAGAATGCTGTGTTATTTTTATATTAATATATGCAGAAAAATAGGCACCTCAGAATCTGTAACAGCTGTTGAAGAGTTTAGCTAAAAAATTAGCAAGATTTGTAGAAAACTGAGTGAATTAGGAAACACTGAGAAGTGAAGGTTTCATTGAAGACTCCATTGAATGGTACCACTACTGAAAACTCTTCACTACTTCATGAGCAGCTCTTCATCAGTAGCTTTGAGATTAAGTCAGCCAGCTAGAGGGGAACTGAGTTTCAGTCACTACTCCAAGATATGCAATACAAATTTAGATAAAATATATAGAATTGGGGAGTTGAAGTCAGGTCTTGCCCTACTTTTGGAAGCAACTTGATCTACAACAGTAGGACAAAAGCGCATCTCAAATGTCTTTGAAAAACATTCATATTAGTGTATGGTTGCTGATGGCAAAGTGGCTCAATCAACACTGATTTTTGTGCCCTCTCTAACACACTCTAAAGAGTGTGAAACTGCTCTTTATCTAAGTTCGTGTATCACTAACAAGACAGGAAAAAGCTGGTTGCGTATTACTGGGGATAAACCATACTAGTGATAAAACAAACGCCCACAGCTCTCAAACAGGAATCTTCCCCAAGACTCATTAACCAGCTTTTTTTGAAAATTCCAGTGCACTCACATGAAAGTACTAGTATTAAAGCTAGATACGTAACAAAAATATTTTCACATGACAAGTAAAAAGCACAGCAACTCTTGTATATCAGGACAGTGACAGATAATGCCATTCCTTTTGATCTAGCACTCAAGGTTCAGTAACTGAATGTTCCTGGCTTCAGTATTACTCTTATAGATTCTTTCAGTTAACTGATGACCTGATTCTATAGATCTCATTTTATTGACTGCCACTTAAATGAAGGAATTTGTTTATTTCAGTTTGGCTGTGTGAACACACACATAGCTGTCACACACACCTTGAATCTTTACTTCTGAAAGTCAGCACCTTTCATTTATATTAGGCATTGCTGAAATAAGCTATAATCTCAAAGTGCATAATGAAGTAGTCCCCTCCCTCAATCTCTTTTTCAAATGCCATTGTTTCTCTGTTCATTTTTCAAATGACTAGTTCCCAAAGAAGAGCTAAACCCCTCAATTTGCTGTATCTTTTTGTAAATGCCCAAGGAAAGCTTCATCTCTGCTCTTTGCCTGTTTCTTGCAATCTGGACAACTGAAGGAGCTGCAGCTGCTTAGTTTCTTTCTTTTATTTTTTTCCTGTTTCTTTAAGCCCATTTTTAAAATAGAATAAAACACACCATTAATCTCTTTGAAATGGGTGTAAGAAGCCTTGGGTCCTTTGACTGAATATTGGTGGTAAATTTCATCATTTAAGCTAACAGTGAGAAAAGTGGTGTAATGGACTAGCACAAAGAGACAGTATTATCTGAATGTGGAAGTGGTGATGGTCAGATATGGAGACAGTATTATCTGAATGTGGAAGTGGTGATCGCCAGATATGTTGCAAATAGGAAAGAAGGATAATGCTTTTAATCGTTTGTTCAGGAGGTACGTGAACAATGAGCATTTTGCATCTCAAGAAGCAGAAGAGGAAAGGATGATAAAATAAAAAAAAGGAGTTAATAGTAAGATTAAAGATCAAGCAAGTGCCCTAATGTGGAGTAATATTCATCTAAAGAGCTTAAGATTTTAGGGGAACAGTGATGAAGTCAGATAAAGACAAAATAAGTCAGTCATGCATATATCGGGTCACTGTGAGAACTGGGAATCACAGGTGTCCCGAATTCCATTCTAGTTTCTCTACATGGCAATAACTGGTCTTTAACACTTACTCAGGAAAGCAGCATGCTACATAACAGCATGAAAAAGCATCCTCAAGGCATGGGAAACAGATATATAGACTGACAAGGGATACTGGTTGCCTTAAGTTTAGCAAATTCACGATCACCTTACCACTCCAGGTTTTGTTGTCCTTTTTCTATCCAAATTAAATTCAAATCATGACTTGCTCTTCAGAAGCCACCTGACAAACTGGCAATAATCTACTATTACGCACTATTTGCTTAAATATTTACATTCGCATATGTAAGAACATACCATGTAAAATGACAGCACTTTCTTTTCCCTGAATAAATATTTTCAATGTGTTAATTAGCTTATGAATGCAAGCAATCAGGAACATTAACATACCAAGCTGTCATATACCAATTTCCACCCATCCTTCAGTCGCGTAAAATCCTCACGAATGTTTATGAAACATGGCAGTTCTTCTAGTCGACAAATTTCATCCCATGATTTTGGAGGAAGCCAGGTACACGGATTAGAAATGGGATTGTCCAAACCGATGCCTCCAGTCAACAGAAATTTCCACTCATTCTCATTAATCTACAATGAAAAACACTGCTCTAAGGACAAAATAAATAAAATCTAATGGGTTTATTACGTTATGTAGGAAATCAATACGTTTATCTGAAATCTTGCATTAGTCAAAAAAGCTTCTATACAGCTATTAAAAGCTTATTTCCAAAATATTCATTTAGCCATGAACTTCAGGAATCAAAAAACCTAAGATATGTGCCAATTTAAAGATTCATGCGCATTCCTAACTTGGGGAATGGACAATTTTAACTGATTAGATTTTTAGACTCATTCTTTAAATCCCAAATGTTGAAGGACAAAAATACTGGAAATATTTCAGGGAATCATGCATTTAGCAACCTTTTCCTTTAATGCAAGTCTAAATATGAAAAAGAAATATCAGCTTATTACATGTCTCATTCCTTTCTCAATACTCCATTTTCTCAAAATTTCTTTGATAGCTTGAAATTGTAAATTGAAATCCCTGTGAATGGGAGAACAGTGTCCCGTGATTATTAGGGTCAGGTCTTGAAAGAATTCACTTTTATGTATTCCTCAATATAAAAATGCCTCAAGTTTCTAAAATTTTAAATGTTTCCATACTACACTGAAAGAAACAACCTCAAGCAACCATAAGTACCGTTTTGCAGATGATATGGTTAAAATGCATGTATTTCATTACGAACTAAAAAAATCCTGTAAAGAATTACTAGAAATTAGTAGAATTCAGTTGGTACAAGTGTTTGATTCTGAGGAATTCTATGCAAAAATAAACACATTTAGTCCCTTAAGTGAGAAAGATGAGTAGTTTCTTAAATCAATGGTTACAGTTCATTTTTATAGGCTTTTTTAGAACTCAGAACACATAACAGTAAAATTTTGCAAAGTGTTC